TATCAAAGAACAGTCACAAGAGCGTGCAAGATAGCACACAGTTTGGGAGAAAGAATGTGTGATCATGTATCTGCTAAAGGTCTGAAATTGAGAATATATAGCTGTGCTGGATAGCTTTAGTGTCAACTTGACACACCTGGGTTGAGGGAGCCTCAATTGGGGAACTGCCTCCATTGCACTGGCCTGTGGCCATGTCTGTGGAGCATTTTCTTGATTGTTGAGTGATATGGGAGGGCCCAGCCCACTGTGGGTAGTGCCACCCCGGGCTGGGCAGGTGGGCCTGTGTTGCATAAGAAAGCAGGCTGAGCAGGAGCCAGGGGAGCAAGCCAGTAAGCAGTGTTCCTCCATGGCCTGTGCTCCAGCTCCTGACTCCAGGTTCCTTCCCTGAGTTCCTACCTTGAGCTCCCTGATAAACTGTGACCAGGGAGATGTATGATAAAATAAACCCTTTCCTCCCCAAGTTGGTATTGGTCAGAGTGTTTTGTCAGAGCAATGAAGAAACAAGCTAGGACAGGAATTGGTACCAGAGAGTGAGATACTGCTGTGACAGACTTGACCTTGGTGTTTATGGGAGGACTGTGGAAGTGTTTGGAACTTTGGGCTGGAAAAGCCATTGTGTGCTCAGAGTTTGTTGCTGTGGAGCTTGGAACAGTTAGGCTGAAAGAGTTGTGGACGATGGAGGCCTGGCTTGTGAAGCTTCAGATGGAAGCAGAGACTATCAGGGCTGTTTGTGAGAGATTTTGAATTGAGAATCTGTGGGTTCTAGTCGCCTGGGGCTGAAGAATCAGCTGTGGTTAAGAAGAGACCAGAACCTGAAGTAAAACATCTGTTTTACTGGGACAATTGATGCTCGTTAGCTGGGGCTGAAAAATCAGCTGTAAGTAACAAGAGACCAGCATCACTGTGGTGGAATCTTCTGGGAGGTATTTCCTCAGCATCAGCACACAGAGGGGACCTGCACCTCTATTTCAAGCTGGAAGTAGGAGTTGGTAATGTGTAAGAGTCTCCTGCATGGTTCTGGTGTTGAAAGCGTGAAGGGGTCAGAGAGAGCAGCTGAAGCTTGGCACTCTGAGAGGCCAGGAAAGGTCATAGGTGAAAGTGAAGCTTCAGTTACAGCAAAGACCCCAGAATTGAAGGGGTCATGGAGAGAAACTGAGGCCTTTGCACCCCAAGAGGCAAGAAGAGGCCATTGGTGAAGGTATAGCCTCAGTTTCAGTAGAGACGCCAGCTTTTTGGAGATGCCAGGACCATGGGATGACCACCAAGGACAGCCAATAGGTGTGGAATGGAGCTGGCCTGGGTCTGTGAGACGAGCTGTGTGTGCTGCGGATGGCACAGTCAGAGAAGTGGAGCTGCCAGAACCCTAGAGCCCAGAAGATTGTGAGTGAATCACAGATGTCCAGCCTTGAGCTACTTTGTTGGACTTTGGTTTTGCTTAGATGTGCTTGATTTTTCCCTTTGAAATAAGACAGTCTTGTTGTGGATTTTTTAAGGACTGTGGGCTTTTAAGATTGTACTGTCTTATGTTGGAGTGGCCTGTGGCCATGTCTGAGGGGTATCTTCTTGATTAGTGATGTGGGAGGGCCCAGCCCACTGTGGATGGTGCCACCCCTGGGCAGGTGGGCCTGTGTTGCCTAAGAAAGAAGGCTGAGCAGGGGCCAGGGAGCAAGCAGCATTCCTCCATGGCCTGTGCTCCAGCTCCTGCCTCCAGGTTCCTGCCTTGAGTTCCTACCTTGAGCTCCCTGATAAACTGCAACCCGGGAGATGTATGATAAAATAAACCCTTTCCTCCCCAAGTTGGTATTGGTCAGAGTGTTTTGTCAGAGCAATGAAGAAACAAACTAGATCAATAGCGATCGCTTACAAATCAACAACAAACCAAACAATGCAAATAAAGAGCAATGAAAGGACTTGAAGAGAGACATTACTATGGTTTGAATGTCCCCTACTAAACTCATATTGCAATTTAATTGCCATTGTGACTATATTAAGAGATGGGGCCCAAGCTAGGGATGTAGAGCTCATGGTAGAGCTTTCCTTAGAGTCCACAAGGGCCTAGGCTCCATCTCCAGCATAGTAAAAATAATAACAACAAAAACACAAAGGGTGGACTCTTTAAGAGAAAGGAGAAAAGGATGATGAATGCATGAAGGCCATTACACCAGGTGATAGCTTCTGCATACCATCATATAGCAAAAAGATGTGGCTTCTTATCTTCCACTTCCTAGTCTCTAGAACCATGAGCCAAATAAACCTTTATACATTAAAATTTTCCTAATCTGTAATATTGTTATAGCAGAAAACAGATTAAGACAGATATTTCTCTAGAGATTAAACAAATAGCCAAGACATATTCAAAACACCCATTAGTCATTAGAGAAATTCAAGTCAGAATCACAATGAACTACTACTTCATGTCCACAAAGATGGCTAGAATTAATTAGAGAAAATTAATGAGCACTCACCAGGATGTGGAGAAACAGAAAAGCCCGACACGGCTGGGGGAATACAAAATAATGTGCAATATGAAAATGCTCTATTAATGAAAGAAGCCAGATACCAAAGACTACACATTGCATGATTCTGTTTATATGAAATATACAGAACAGGTAAATGTATGGAGAAAGACAGTACATTAGGTACATGCCAGAGGTTGAGAGAGGGGAGAATCTGAGTGACTGCTCCCCATTTCCTCATAGAGTGATGAAATTGGTCTTTAATAAGGTAGTGGTGATGGATATATGACACTATAAACATGCCAAAAGCCACTGAATTGTATACTTTAATATGATCTAAATGATGAATTTTATGCTGTCTGAATGTTACCAATATAAAAAAGAATGAAATTCTTTTAACATTAATTATGAGGATTTTATTCAGTACTTGGGAGTTGGAGGCGAGAAGTTTCAGGAGTTTGGCAGCTGGAGGTGGTTCAAGGCTATCCTTGGGCACTTAATGAATTCGAACCTCGGCAAGACCCTTTCTCAAAAAATTGTATTTTAATCTTGATTTTATTTCCAGAAAAGAGATAAATAAAAACAAGTAAAAGTGAAATAATGTTTTGTAATGTACAGAAGCAGAAAGAATTTATCAGCAGCAGAGTGCTTTCTAAGAACTATTAAGGAAGTACATCAACAAAAGGGGTAAGATCCCAGACTGAACACCAAGCATGGGTCTTCTCATCATATCATTATTTCTCTTCATAGGATTATCAACTGTTTAACAGTAACACCAGTGTACTGTGGGACTTATACATATGTATGTAAAATATGTAACAACAGAAGTGCACAGACTTGGAGGGGTTATGCAATATTATCTAAAGCAACTATTGTCATGACAAAATTATAAGCAACAATGAGATAAAATGATAAAAATATTAATTCAAATGAAAGCAGGAAGAAAAAAGAGGGCAGGTTTATAACTATGCCAATAAATATAACTCTGCTTGAAAGATACATTTTGTCATATTGGTCAAAAACAGAAGGATGGAAAACATACCTTGTTAATCAAACGATATATTTAGATTAAAAGCTACAAAGTTGACAGTGCTAAAAAAAATTAAAGATCTAATAAACAGGAGTAAGCATGTTGTGTTCATGGGTCAGAATATCCAATCCTATCAAGATGTCAGGTTCCAGCACCCTTCCCCTCTGACGACTCTTTTTTTTTTTTTTTTTTTTTTTTTTTAAACCATGCTGTGGACTGAACCCACAGCATTTGCCTGCCATTGAGTCACATCCCTAATCCAATGTTCTTCCCTTCATTAATAGATTAAATTGCAATCTCAAATATCATAACCACTTTCTTTTGAATAATTAACAAACTGATTATAAAATTCATAAAGGAGTACAAATGATGCATTGTAGCCCCAAAGCCTTGAATCTAATTTTAAGATACTATTCAGCATGGTAATGAAGATAGTGTTGTACTGGCATAGGGATGTTAACAGAACAGAGTCTAGAAGTAGACTCGCAAACCATTAATTTATTTTCAATAATTAGAACAGCTGGGTTTCAATATGCAAATTTGTGAATTTCCTTTCTTCCCCCTCCCCCTGTCCTTCCTTCCTTCCTTCCTTCCTTCCTTCCTTCCTTCCTTCCTTCCTTCCTTCCTTCCTTCTTTCTCCTTCCTCCCTTCCTGAGCTGAGGCAGGAAGAGTGGGCAAGGTCTGCCTGGATTACATACTGAGTATCAAAACACTCTGAGCTACAAGTAGAATACTTCCCTACCATATGGAAAGACCTGGGTTCAATTCTTAGCACTACAAAAATGAAAACAAAGAAACAAAAAAACAGAACGAACAAAAAAAACCTCCCAAAATAACAAAAACAAGGAATACATGATACATTTTATTAGTAGTTAGTATATGTCTTTTAAAATTCCTTTATTATAAGATAAATAGCTTTAAAAAGTTTTAAGATACTAACATAGCTGCAAATTTCGATTTTAAATGTTTTATGCCCCCACTTTAAAATATAGAAAAACGTAATTAGATACTTACTTAAAATAAAGGGGGATTAAAATGCTATATAATTTACACATATTCTTTAAATAATAGTAGGAGGTAAAGAAAACAGCAATTATGAACCTGATTTTCTAAGGGTAAAGTGTGTTTAATAGTTCAGTAATTTTTTTATCAAATAAAAAAGCAAATCTAACATTAAAATGAGATATTAATGAGAAACTTAAAATTTTTGACACTAAAGTTTGCCAAACTTGTTTTGCTAGTTGATATTCTCAGATTTAAAGCTTTATCTGTCTAGTCTCATTTATACTTCATTAGTCTGGCCATTTAATCTCCCCTCTGCTCTGTTTGGCCATCTACTATAAGTTGCTTTATAAAGTCTTAACATTCAGTCAATATCATAAATTTGAAATCAGTTTGTATTAAGAACCAGCTCATTTTAAAACTGTTCAGTGAATAAATGTAGGATTGAACAAAAAATGAAGATGACACACTTCACTGTGCTTCTCCACAGTGTCTCTTGTTTCAGCATTTACCTCTTGTGAAAGCTGCATTACTTGATCCTTTCGATGTTCCAGATCTTTTAAAATCAATGAATTTTGCTTTTCCAACTGTAGTACTCTTCTTGCCAGGTGGACACTAGGTGAATAAAATGAAGAGAAGTAATGCTTGCAAAAGGAGAGTGCTACTTAAAATACTCAAAGTATGCTAGAAAATGCTCAAAATGTGCTACAAAATCATGTATCATTTCCTAATAAAACATATTAATAGAAAAAAATGAAAAATGTGAAATAATGAAACTAGAAGACCAATATGGCAGCAACTCAGAACTCTGAAAGTACCAGACTGTATTAGTGACTTTTCTGTCAATGTGATAAAACACCATGACCAAAAGCGACATATGGAAGAGTTTATTTGGTTTATGGTTCTAGAACGATAGTTCATCACAGCAGGGAGACAGCAGCAAGTGACAGGCATGGCAGCAGGAGCAGAAAGCTGAGAATTCACATCTTCAACAACAAACACAAAGCAGAAAGTCCACCCCCACTGACACACTTTCTCCAATAAGGTTACACCTTCTAAAGATTCCATGACCTCCCCGAAACCAATTAGGAACCAAGTACTGAAGTAAGGTGGGCCTATGGGGGGTGGTATTTCTCATTCAAATCAGCACATTACCATTGCCATGGTATAACTGTGATATACTGATTAATGTGGTAATGATTTATAGCCTTTCCAATCAAAGTAGACTTAAATTGTCTTACTAGGATGACAAAATAAGACAGTCACTTTTAACATTTTTAAAAAATATTTTTTATTTATTATTTTTATTTTATGTGTATGAAACGTATTGCCTGTGTGTAGGTAAGTGTATCCATGTTGTGCAATGCTCACGGAGGACAGAAGAGGCTGTAGGATCCCCTGGAACTGGAGTTACAGACAGCTATTAGCTGCCATGTGGGTGCTGAGATTTGAACCCGGGTCTTCTGCAAGAAAACCAGTATTCTTAACCACTGAGCCATCACTCCAGCCCCACGTTTAACATTTTTATAAAAATTTCCCAATTACAAATCAGTCAGGATATTAGTTGAATATTATGTACAATAAGCATATATTTTGATAAGCACTACTGCTTAGTTCAGCCTACAAAATGCATTTTATAATACAATACGCAAATGAATACTTAGTTGTTTTATTAAAAGTGGAGGTGGAAGCGATGCATAAAACTTCAAGAATGTCTACAGTACAGGCAAAGACTCTATACTAAAAGAAATTGTCTAATGACCTGTCTGTATGTCTGTCTGTCTGTCTCTCTTTTTGACAGGGTCTTATTGTATAGCCCAGGCTGCCCTCAAACTCACGATTCTTGTATTTAAATAATTCTTTAGGGAACGACTACTAATGCTGAGAAGCTATATTCTCACAATCAACTATTTTTCCAGTAACTTAAAATGTACATATTTGTTCCATTATCATGTTCTACATCAATTTATTTTATTAACCTATGAATGTGGAATTCATGGGATACATGAAGACAGAATGTTTTACAATAAGAAGGTATTTCTCTAAATAAAGCCACAGAACAGAAGAAGTCCTGTTACATTGATAACACATCCGAACATCTGACAAAGGAATTCGGGTAACACTTAGAATAATGGTGAATATCACCCAACACAAGGATGTGTAAGAACTTGTCATTCCAAATAAAAAAGGTGAGTTCTGATAAATATTTATAATAGTGACTTCGACAGTTTATCTGCATCTAAGAACCTATTCTTTGAATTGGTTTGACATTTTGCCAGTGAAGATGAAATTAAAAAAGGAAAGGAAGCAGCTTCCATTTTTTGACAATCATTCTTTTTTTAAGACAGATTAGTTGACATACATTTTTAATAATTTTTAATGCAGATAAAACAGAATAAACACAAATTTATAAACCATAATCCAATGGAATTTAGTGAATTTAGATTTGTGCAGTTATCACTACAACATAATAAAAATTTTATTTATTTTTATTTTATATGTGAGTATTTTGCTTGCACATAAGTGTAATGTGTGTGCAATACCTGTGGAGGCCAGAAGAGGGTATGAGATCCCCTGGAACTTGAGTTACAGAGTTTAGCTACCATGTGGGTGTTTTGCTTATTTATATATTATTTATTATTACTATTGTGTGTGTGTGTGTGTGTGTTTGTATGTAGGAATGCATGTGTCATGGCACACAGGTGGAGGTCAGAGGACAACTTTTGGGAGTTTGTTCTCTCCTTTCACAGTAAGTTCTGAGAATCAAATTTAGGCTGTCAGGCTTTTGTATCCAGCATTTTCAGGCAACCTCACTCATCCTGTGTGCTGGATAGCTTTAGTTGTCAACTTGACATATCTGGGTAAAGGGAGCCTCAATCGGGGAATTGCCTCCATTGAAATGGCCTGTGGGGCAATCTTCTTGATTATTGAGTGATGTGGGAGGGCTCAACCCACTGTGGTGCCACCTGTGGGCAGGTGGGGCTATGTTGGATAAGAAAGCAGGCTGAGCATGAGCCAGAGGATCAAGCCAGCAAGCAGTATTCCTCCATGGCCTGTGCTTCGGCTCCTGCCTCCAGGTTCATACCCTGAGTTCCTACCTTGGACTCCCTCAGTGATGGACTGTGACCTGGGAGATATAAGCTGGATAAACCCTATCCTCCCCAAGTTAGTATCTGTCAGAGTGTTCTGTCATAGCTCTTGAAAACAAACTAGAACAGAAATTGGTACCAGGATTGTGGGGTATTGCTGTGACAGACCTAAACTTTGGTGTTTTGGGGAGGATTGTGGAGGTGTTTGGAACTTTGAGGTGAAAAAAAAATGGAGTGCTTGAGTTTGTTGCCATGGAACTTGCAACAGTTATGCTGTAGAGAAATGCAGATGATGGTGGCCTGGCTTGCGAAGTTTCAAAGGGAAATGGAGACTGTCAGGGCTGTTTGTGCAATATCTTGAATTGAGAATCTGTGGTTTTCTGGTCAGCTGGAGCTGAAGAATCAGTTGTGATTAAGAAGAGACCAGAACTACTGAAGTGAAACCGTTGCCTTACTTGGATAACTGATACTTGTTAACTGGGGCTGAAAAGTCAGCTGTAATTAACAAGAGACCAACATCACTGTGGCAAAATCTTCTGGGAAGTATTTCCACAGGGTTAGCACAGAAGCTATGGTCCAGAGGGGGCCTGAGTCACCATCTCAAGCTGGAAGCAGGACTTGGTAATGTGTAAGAATCTCCTGCAATGATGGGCGTGGTGGCACATGCCTTTAATCCTAGCACTTGGGAGGCAGAGGCAGGTGGATCTCTGTGAGTTCAAGCCCAGCCTGGTCTACATAGTTCCAGGTCGGCTGGGGCTACAGGGAGACCCTGTCTCAAAAAGGCCAAAAAAAAAAAAAAAAAAAAAATTCTCCTGCATGGTTCTGGTGTTGAAATTGTGAAGGGGTCACAGAGAGCAGCTGAGGCTTGGCACCCTGAGAGGACAGTAAAGGTCATTGGTGAAAGTGCAGCCTCAGTTGCAGTGAAGACCCCAGGATTGAAAGGTCATGAAGAAAATTTGAGGCTTTGCACCCTGAGAGGTCAGAAGAGGCCATTGGTGAAGGTACAGCCTCAGTTTCAGTGGAGACCCAGCTTTTTGGAGATGCCAGGACCATGGAATGACGACTAAGGGTAGAAGCAGGTGTGTAATGGAGTGGGCCTGGATCTTCGAGACAAGTTGTGTGTGCTGTGGACAGTAGAGTCAGAGAAATGGAGCTGCCAAAACCCACTGGAGCTCAGAAGATCATGAGTGAATCTCAGATGTCCAACCTTGAGCTACTTTGCTGGACTTAGGTTTTGCTTGGGTGTGCCCAATTCTTCCCTTTTGAAATAAGACAGTACTTGTTTTGGATTTTACAAGAGCTCACGTTTAAGAGACTTTTAAAAGAGAAATCTACCTGATGACTTTATATCCATGCTCAGATGCCAAGGAGCTCAGAGTAACCGACTGTGACTAGTAATAATCTGATATATAGAGATTAGAAACGCAGGTGCAAACATCTTAATGTCAATTGTATTAAAAATGAAGTTTTCTGCATGAAACTCTGTATTTTAATAATGAAATAGAGATCTTTTCTAAAGGTTAAAACCTCATTTATGTCTTATAGGGCTTATACTGAGTACAATATTGTGTAACTGTAATAATTCAACTGTTAAACCTAAAAATGTAAAGTCAATTTTATAAGAGATTCAGCCTAGCTCAGAAAATTGTTATTGAATATGTCAGTGCTGATGTAATGAAATGCTTCTTCTAAGTATGTGGTTATTAAATAAATCATTAAAAAAAACAAAACAAAACAGCAAAAGGCAGACATGGTGGTTCATGCCTAAACTATGGACTTTTAAAGTCCATAAGTGTTTGGATTTTTTAAGGACTGTGGGACTTTTAAGATTCTACTGTCTTATATGCTGTGATACTAAAATATCTTGGGGACAAGAAATTAAAAAGTTATGGTTTAGTAGTGATTTGTTTGTGTGACAAGTTGACAGGGGATTAAGTGTGCTAGACACACCTGGGTAGAGGGAGCCTCAACTGCTGAATTGCCTCCATTGGACTGGCCTGTGGCCATGTGTGTGTGGCATCTTCTTGATTACTGAGGATGTGGGAGGGCCCAATCCACTATGGGTAGTGTCACCTGTGGGCAGGTGGGCCTATGTTGTATAAGAAAGCAGGCTGAGCATCGGCCAAAGGATCAAGCCAGTAAACAGTGCTCCTCCATGGCCTGTGCTTCAGCTCCTGCCTCCAGGCTCCTGTCCTGAGCTCCCTACCTTGGGCTCCTACCTTGGGCTCCCTCAGTGTTGGACTATGACCTGGGAGAGATGAGCTGAATATGCCCTTTCCTCTCCAAGTTGGTACTGGTCAGAGTATTTTGTCACAATAGAGAAACAAACTAGAACATCCAGTTTTAAAATTTTTATTATTATTATTATTTTGTTAAGACAAGGTCTCTCTGCAGTCTCAGGTGCCCTGGACCTCGTTATGTAGAGCAAGCTGCCTCAGTCTTACAGAGAGTCACCTGCTTCTGCCTCATGAGTGCTGGGATTAAAGGCATGCACTATCATGCCTAGCAACCGTTTTCATTTTTATT